GGGGGGACTCCCACATAAAAGTGACAGGGGATGCTTATCATCTCCTTAGGGGTGTTAATTGCAGATTTTGGTCTCACTTTGGGTCTTTTGGGATGGAAAGTCACTACATTTTCCCTTTCAGGTATTGCTTCAAAAAGAATTTACAAAAAATGCCACAACACTGACCACACAAAAATTTCCTTTAGGGGTCAGTTTAAGTTTGAGCCCCACCACATTGGTCTCACTCAGGGGTTTAATTTCAATTTTCCAACAAGCATCCCCATCACTATTACATTATGGTAATCCCACCAGGCTCATTTCTCATGTAGTGGCTGATCAAGGAGTGTGTTATCAGGCCTCAGCAGATAATATCCTTCTTGATCTGTATAATTTTTCAGATCACTTTGAAAACCGAATCCCATAATTCCTAAATGAGATTATTAAAAAAACTGAATGATTGGATAATGTAATTCTAGAGCTCTGATTGCCTTAGCCATCGTTGTTTATGAGCCATTATATCGTGCTCTACAAATAATTTATGGTATCTGGACACGTCTGCTCAAAATTAAAAACAAGCTGAAAATCGGTTGTTTGTACAAAAATTAATAAAGGTGGGAAGAATTCTCGAGTTATTCCACTTGCGCTTGATGGATAGGAGATGACTAAAGCCAACTCATATCCAATGCGCACTCGTGGAATTATTTTGAATTTTAGCAGTCTCCTTAATTTTAGCAGTCTCCTTAACAACTCGAGGTGATGGCTGAAATTCAGGCTAATGTGGCCTTAATATGATCTGAAGAATAACTCTTCAGATCTTAAGAAAGTCCAATCCAATTCAAAATAGTTCATATTTTAAAGAGATGCATACCTTGATCGACGTTGAGTTTCCATTTTCATTTGTCTGTTCCTCCGCAAATTCATGATGTTATAAAGAGATGTTTAGTCTTGCTGACAATCTTCAAATGGCAGTTGTCATCCCTCAAGTTGTACTTGTGCTGCTCTTATGTTACGTCAGCAGTAGTTGGCTAATTCTGTACAAAATGTGTGACATTTGAAGCAACCTTGTCACTAGGGCTTCTTGACTGCCATCCCTTTTTCTTGTGAATCCTGGACTATTGATGTCATGTTACTGGATATCACCAACGTATACCAAATTTGGTCAATGCTAGATGGTTATGAAGGATTAGTAATGGCAATAGAACTGAGTGGAGTACAATCCAGGGAGTAATTGAGCGAGTAAAGTGCAAGGCCCATTTGAAATTGCGAGCCCGATTACCACTGGATTTTACGACACAAAGTCCTATTTCCACTCAGTCTTGGAATATTTAGAGTGGTTTTCACTTGACTGTCGTAAAACCAAAACCAAAGTAAATACACTAGCCAACCAAAGGACGTAGTAAACCAAAACCAAAACCAAAACCAATCCCAATTCGACAGTCAAGTGAAAACCGCTCTATAATGCAAGAGAAAGATTCCAAATCATCTGAATAAAAGTCATTGGACCAGTTAGTTTCATCCATATTTCTTTTCCAGTTGAAGCTGGACAGCTTAGTACCTGATCACCATTTTTTCATTGATTTTGATTGGGTATCATGTGCTATGTAGTTAAATTTAATTGGCTAGTGGCATTTGCCACTTGATTTTCATTGGTTTTTTAAACGTCAAATTACAAACTCCTTGTTATGAGACAAGTCAAATCGGACAGTTTTGGAGTTACAACAGCAAAATTAAGCTAAAACATCTGCTGTTAAGAACCAATCAAATTCAAGTATTTTGTTGCTGACACAATTAGTAATGATAACGGGACTGAGTGGAGCCCAATTCTGTCTGTAATCATAAGAGTGATCAACAAAATCGGACAACCATGTAGCGGGAGTCCAAGCAGGAGTCTGAGTATGATTACAGACCAAATTGGATGACACAAATTAAAGTTCTGTTACCAATTAATCATAACTTTAACAAAATTTGTGATGTATGTCTCTTTTTAAATCAAAACACAAGAAATTCCAAGATTTTTTTTGCTAGCAATGAAAAAAAAAAGACATTTAAGTGCAAGCATGTGCATACTGTCCTATTAAACTGTACCTTTTAAGGCTGAAATCAGGGCAGTTGACAATTAATCAGATTTGAGAATTTTGTTATAGTTATGATTAGGAGGGGAATTTGAGCCAACCGGTACTAACTGGCGTAATGGAGTAACATTTTTTAATGAATAACAATTGAAAGTAAAGGACTGTTAACAGTTATGTATTACCCAGGCCCACCTGCTGTAATTGGCCACAGCTGTTGCGGTGTCCCTGCCAACGTTCTTTCTATTTGTTTGTTTTTTTGGTGAAGCTAATAAAATAAAATAAATTTGACCAGGAAGTTTAAATGCTTTTATTTGAGTGCTGACTCTTGAGTGGTCACTTATGGAAACTGTCTCTAACAAAAACTTTTCTTTCACAAGTACATGGCCCCTAGGGGACTTGATGTCAATAATGATTTTTGACAGTTTCCCTCGTGAGGGGGTAGCTTGCTCTTTTTGACATTCCTACTTCTCATTGACAAGCATTTGTTTAGAAAAATAGAGGATCTGTCAAGGGTGGAGTGTAGTAGTAAGTATGACATGAAGATACAATATTATTCTACTCCAACTTGAAGTAATTTCTGGACTAGCTTGCAGAAAATACACCTCTTAATATTTCTCCAAGAGACATTCCCTTTAGTTCAGAGCTAGTACCAGACTCAGCATCGTCAATAAATGGTTCATCCTGCACTATGAAGTACGACTGGATAAGTGCTCGGCACATTGGACAATAGCTTAACTGCTGACAACACAGTCCACATGCACATGCATGTCTACAGGGAAGAAAGGCACGGGTGATTGGAAGTGTTCGGCAAATGATGCACACCGCATTTGTTAACTGATTTGATGAAATAGTTGAATTTTCATCTCCAGCTGATAGGGTTTCTGTTCTTTGAGTTGATGATGATGACTGCATTTCTAATGGGTCATCACTCTCTACAACAAACAATTTCTGTGAAAACAAAATGAACAAAACACTAAGGTTACCTGCTACTTTCAAATTAATGATGTACCGTAATATTAGCATGGGACACAGCTGGCAAAAATCAGTTCAGTTCAGTTTATTCTTCCCTGAATATTTTGACTAATGCTAGGTTACAGACTTTGATTGATGTTTACACGAAAATGTTGCTATAAAATTAATATCAGAGTTTGAGTATGATGGCCAAGTGAACCATTAGGTTTTCTAGTTGGCCACCACATTACCAATAATTACGTTTACCAAAAAAGGAGGCAATGAATTAGAAAGACCAAATAAAATAAATGAATAAATAAATAATAACATAATAATAGAAAAGAAAAGAATAATTAATAAGTGGTTCCAAATGCTAGCCTGCAAAGCAGAGCGAGTTCAATACTGTTCAATACTTCAATACTGTTCTTGGGACTAATGCCCTCAGGCCATCTTGGACATTGAAACTGACAGAGAGTTGGAGCAAGTCCAAAATTGATTCCAGGCTATCCCAATACCAGTTTGTACGCTTAAATCACAGTCATGGCGAGCTAAGCTATCAATTTTACTAGGTAACCTGTAAAATGCAACCTTCATAAAGAGAAGAAAATATAATTGAAGTTTGTCTTTCTTGGAACTTAAAGAGTTAAAACAGTTTCTGTGGCGTAAAGCACTAGAAATGTTGCCACTCCCCTTGGAATGGATGCCAGTCCATCACAGGGTTACCCCGCCCCTGCATGATTTTGCTGGTAACCATTTATACATACACCAGCATGAAGAGAGACAAAGTGGAGAAAGTTTTTTTTTCTAAGGAAACTGCCAATGAAAGGGCAAGACCTGGACTGGGAACTACAGATCTGAAGTTCAAGGTGGTTACCACTTGGCCACCATCCATTTCTCCAGTTACTTCATTCATCAATGTGCAGTGCTCGATTTGTTTCCAGCATCAAAAAGTACCACTATAAACTTACAATAGTTTGACACTGGCATGACTAGGAAGTTAGTTAAGTACTGGAGCAAAGATTATACCTTCATACTGTATATGTTTCCTTCCGCAGTCTGAACAAATTGCATCACTATGTTGCTGGTAAGTTTACCAGCTGAAGCATTGGATAATTGAACTGCTGTCATAAGAGCCACCTATGTAGAAATAATAAAATACATAATAATTATGCCTCCAGTATCACAAGAAATACAAGAAAGAAGGAAGGACCTGAGACAAAAAGGAAAATGAAAGACTGTAGCACTTTCTACTGGGGTCAATTTAATGTTAACAAATGTAATTTACAAGACATGTAGCTATTGTTTTTGGACCCTAAAACAATAGCTACACTTGTAAATTACTCCCGTAGAAGTTTTATCAAATTGACCCCTGGTCAGAGATAACATCAGCAATAATATTAAAAGATAACATGAGCAATAATATTAAATTAATATTAATGACATTGATAACATGTCTTTCAAAATATAATCTTATACAACTCATTCGCCAAAATGATGGCCATATTAAAAGGCTATTTCCAAGTTCCAAAAACTCTCACTTTTGAAATGAAGCCAAGAGCTCGAGCAAAACCTTTCTTGTGAAAATGAGATTCATTTGCATGAGAAAAAAACATCATCTTCAAATCAATGGCTTTGCGTTTAGCCTCGCTTCAAACCAGTGGCTTGGAGCAGCTCAGAAATGGCCTTGGCTACTACAAAGTAAAGTTTCTTTTAAATTTATGTCACTTAGCCCTCATTCACCCTGGCTCATTGCCTTCATATATTGCATCTAGAATATTCTAAAGAACTTTAACCTTCAAATGAAGCATTGAGGGCCAGTTATCATGAAGTTTATTTGCCACCATTTTGGAATAAGGTGAATGACTATATTGCTATTTAAAGTTCCTGGTGATTGATCTGGGAGAGAGGTCTGGCCATGCCGTTATTTTTCTAACAAAATAAGGCCTATAGCTGAGAAAAATCAGTATCAGTAAAACTGTGAAGAACCATGGAAGTGGCCAGTTTTCTTTGCTTGACCCCCTTCGTATGTTTAGGGGAAGTACCACAAACAAAGTTTCTTCTTCAGATTGTATGTTTAACTTTGTTTCTGTTGTCTTTTGTTTCTGTTTTGTTTCTTTGTAAATGTCGCATTAATAATTTTCCTTCGTTTTGAAATGTTATGCTCTCTTTCACATTAATTTCCGTTATTCAAAAGTTGTTTTCTATTAAATTTGTGTTAATTTATGTTGTGTTTATTTCCAATACCCTCATTTCATGGAGAATTAATTTCCAATAATAAGGTAACTGTTAGCAACCCAAAGAAAATTATGGTACAAATTTGAATTTTTGCGTCACTCAAGTTACTATTTTCCTCCCTTTTGTGTGAGGCAATAACAATGTGCTTAAAATGGTCAGGAATACTTATGCAAGAGCTTTTCAGTGATGCAAATCAATAACTGGAAAAGATATGAAGTCAGTAATGTTTTATGATATTATGATCAGAGGCAGAAATATTTCAACAGAGTTATATCCTGGTAGTTTTAGAGCATTTGAAGCACAAACCAGTTATTGCCTTTTTAAAAAGAAAGGAATGTCACACAATCATGACCAAACAGGGTGCTTGCAATGCTCATGTGAACTAAACAAAAATCATCTGAACAATCTTTTTTTTGGGGGGGGGGGGGTGCTAACAGTTTAGTGATTTCGGTTGGCTACCCCATTTCCACACTATTGCTACATATGGTAACTTACAATATCTGCAAGTTGTTGCGGTCCCCGTTCATCATTCCGACACATCTCTACAGTCACTATAAGCGAATATGTTGAGTTACTGCCTTCTGAGGGGTGACTTGATAGTGATGCAATTTTTAGATCAGTTGGAGGCACAGCTATTATTGTATTATCTACACCTGAGTCATAGCTGAAGATATTCAGTTAAGGACAAAATGTTCCTAGCCAAACCTTCATTCAACTTCACACTATCTGTTTCTTCTCCTAACACCTCCCAGTAGTTATTGTTTTATGAAGAGCGGGTGAAAAATTGAACGTTGGTTTCCTTTAACAATTACTAATTTTCAGGTTTTGTCAATAAAGTTGGAGGATACCTAGTAAGATGTAGTTTATCTTGGCATATCTGAGTAGGTTGGTACTTGGGTGTCCTGTATAGCATTGTAGTGTTCAGTGGTACATGCCAAGATTTTGTAGCTGAGTTAGTTTACAATGTGAAGGCTCTCTAGAAAAGATTTCAAAAGTCACCAAAAGTATAATAACAATAATATTGATTCTTGCATTCTGCCACATGATCAATTCCATGATTGAGATCCAAACTAGTCACAGAACACACCCTGTCTGACTGGCCAGCAGCAACTCAGATTTAATCATAAATAGGACAGTGCAATGGGGCAGTAGGCATTGTGCCTTTATACTAAAATCACTTCAACAATAATACTATTATGTCTGCTATATAAGATTTCTTTCTTTCTATTATGTTATTTTAATATGGTCCGGTTCAGATGCCGAACTTTTTACGAGCCAGATAAATTTGAATTAACAAAATTGCTTAGCTGAATTCAGAAGCTGATCTTAATTCCAGCTATCACAAAATTCAACAGGGTCAACCTGCAAAATACATGATAATTTATGCATTACGTTCGCTACATGAAAAGTTCAGCATCTGATCTGGGCCTAAAACATAACGACCATTGTTGTGTTTTCTGCAAATTTAGTTTTAGTGACATTTCATAATATTATTGGTGTTAAACCAAGAAAATTATCCCTTCCTTTTGTCTGTAATCATAATTGTGATCAAAAAAATTAATTTTCGTTTAAAATTAATGACTGAATTGCAGATCCACTTAGTCCTAAATTGCTTTTCTGTGTTACTCTGCGGTTTTATTTGCTTATATAGTTGCACCAATGGGATTGGATTTCTAGCTGAGGTTTAACTTAAGGATACAATTCTGATGTTCCTCGCTCTTTGTATGAGCCCTGAAGGAAGTGCTCCAGTGGAAGCGCAGTCATTATTGGTACCTCATCCAAATCCAAGTCATCATCACCATTCTCAGCATCATCAAAACCACTTGTTTGCTGTTCAAGGTATGAATGACCAAAGACAGAATCTATGACATCCTTTCTTACTTCCCAATACAGAGTCAAATAGCATGGTGAAGTTGTACTGAGAAGAAATTCTATAACACCTATAATAAATATCAGACCAATATCTGTCATTATGAATCTCTGCTGTCTTTCTTCAAATAATATACTATTTGAAGAAAATCAATAATACTTGAATGATTGTCATAAACAATAAGCTTTTAAGTCTAAATTTCCCAATAAGGTCTCAAGTCTCAGAGGTTTATTTTGTTTGTTTTAATTAATTTGCTTTCTTTGTTCCAGCTCTTCTATAGGTTTTTCATAATTACTATTTTGAGAAAGAAAATTTTAACTTTGTTTCAATTTCTCTTCCTCTATCTCAATCGTTCAAACAAAATCATTTTTGAAGGAGAAATTAAGGATGCAAATACTAAGCAGTGTTTCATCCGATTTCCAAACACTTATTAAACATTAATTTCCTTTGTATTTTCTTAATGAATTATTAATGAGTTTGAGAAGTACTGGAGCAAAGATTATACCTTCATACTATATATGTTTCCTTCCGCAGTCTGAACAAATTGCATCACTATGTTACTGGTAAGTTTACCAGCTGAAGCATTGGATAATTGAACTGCTGTCATAAGAGCCACCTATGTAGAAATAATAAAATACATAATAATTATGCCTCCAGTATCACAAGAAATACAAGGAAGAAGGAAGAACCTGAGAGTAAAAGGGAAAATGAAATACTGTAGCACTTTTTACTGGGGTCAATTTAATAAAATTTTAACAACTGTAATTTACAAGTGTAGCTATTGTTTCTGGACCCTAAAACAATAGCTACACTTGTAAATTACTCCCGTAAAAGTTTTATCAAATTGACCCCTGGTCAGAGATAACATCAGCAATAATATAAAAAGATAACATGAGCAATAATATTAAATTAATATTAACGACATTGATAACATGTCTTTCAAAATATAATCTTATACAACTCATTCGCCAAAATGATGGCTATATTAAAAGGCCATTTCCAAGTTCCAAAAACTCTCACTTTTGAAATGAGGCCAAGAGCTCAGGCAAAACCTTTCTTGTGAAAATGAGATTCACTTGCATGAGAAAAAAACATCATCTTCAAATCAATGGCTTTGCGTTTAGCCTCGCTTCAAACCAGTGGCTTGGAGCAGCTCAGAAATGGCCTTGGCTACTACAAAGTAACGTTTCTTTTGTATTCATGTTCACCCTGGTTCATTGCCTTATTTGCATCTAGAGTATTCAAAAGAACTTTAACCTTCAAATGAAGCATTGAGGGCCAGTTATCATGAAGACAAAAGAATAACTTTATTTGCCACCATTTTTGGAATAAGGTGAATGACTATATTGCTATTTAAAGTTCCTTGAGATTGATCTGGGAGAGAGGCCTGGCCATGCCGTTATTTTTCTAACAAAATAAGGCCTATAGCTGAGAAAAATCAGTATCAGTAAAATTTTGAAGAACCATGGAATGGCCACTTTTTCTTTGCTTGCCCCCTTTTGTACGTTTAGGGAAAGTACCACAAACAAAGTTTCTTCTTAAGATTATGTGTCTTATTTTGTTTCTGTTTTGTTTCCTTGTAAGTGTTGCATTAATAATTTTCCTTCATTTTGAAATGTTATGCTCTCTTTCACATTAATTTCTGTTATTCGAAAGTTGTTTTCCATTAAATTTGTCTTCATTTATGTTGCATTTATTTCCAATACCCTCATTCCATGGAGAATTAATTTCCAATAATAAGGTAACTGTTAGCAACCCAAAGAAAATTATGATACAAATTTGAATTTCTGCGTCACTCAAGTTACTATTTTCCTCCCTTTTGTGTGAGGCAATAACAATGGTTTGTGCTTGAAATGGTCATGAATACTTATGCAAGAGCTTTTCAGTGATGCAGATCAATAATTGGAAAAGATACAAAGTCACTAATTTTTGATGATACTATGAGCAGAGGCAGAAATATTTCAACAGAGATCTATCATATTCCTGGTAGTTTTAAAGCAATTGAACCACAAACCCTGGTTATTGCCTTTGTAAAAGGAAAGGAATGTCACATAATCATGACCAAACAGGGTGCTGGGAATGGTCATGTGAACTAAACAAAAATCATGTGTTTTTTTTAAGTAGGTGGGGTGTGGGGGGGGGGGGGTGCTAA